TAATGAGTTCTGAGAAGCCTGGACTATGAGACAACAAAATAACTCACACATCACAATCCCTAGTTTTATCTAGTTGCTGGAAGTTTAACTACTAAGTCCTCAGAAATGACTGAAAGATTATGTGACTTGGTATATGGATTGTCAAAACAAGCAAATATAAGCGATCAACTACTTCATTATGTTAAGTTTAATCGAAAGTTAATAAACCGATTGGCCTAATTCTTGTGCAAAGATGAATGATAAGAATATATAGGGAATATAAATTCACTTTATTAAACATGGATTATTCACGAAAATATGATGTAAAGCATAACATATAAGATAGCATTGTGAAATCGGCAGAACATGATAATGGCGCTATCAGTAAAGAATATAATAAAAAATGGCAATCAAAATATCAGCCAACGTAAAAACAGATAGTTGTATTAAAATAATAGCACAATGAAAAGTAAATAAATGAATTAGGAATAAAAAAATGTCTTCAAAAGATAGATCGACGATTTTTTCGGAGAGAATGAGACGAAAAATAACGTATTTTTTTAATATTTATATGGAATGTATGAAGGATGAAAGACAAACAAAATTTATTCAGAAAAATATGCTATGAATAAAAGATGAACTCTAAAAACAATAAAAAATGAAGACATGCGAGATCGAAATAAAGAATGAAGATGCGTAGGTTGAGTTAATAATGGTTGCTTGACCTGGGTGAATTAACGTTGATAGAAAAATATAATAAGTATTTTCAGAGCATTAATGTGAAAAATAACACTTGCATACAGTTAAAAGAAATATAGCTCTAACATAGTAGTATACGAACGAGGAAAGTAGAATGGTGTAGCGAATGACGAAAAACAATCAAATTACACCGGTGAATATAAACGTGTGAGAAGATGACAATGGTACAAATGCTCTTATGTACGTTTCCTACAGATAAAATGTATATTGATATTTAGTGATGACTAGAAATGTGGACTATTGTTTAGAAAAGAGGTAAGGCATGGGAAATCTTATGACGATTCCTAGGTTCATTTAGCACATTCACCTATATGTTAGTCAGAAGACTAGACCGGAATGCTGATTACATGCGCAAAATGGATTCACCTATAATGGAACTAATCACGACAACAGCAAGATCATCGGGAAGCCATAATATTTATTTTTGAATGGATCGTGGCGCTCTGGCTTCGTTTCTCTTTGTGTTATAGAGAATTCTGGCAAAAATGAAGCGAGGGGGAACCCGGCTAAGTCTCGCCAACTATGCCTCCAAGCTTATGGCAGAGATAGGTAGTGAGTAGGTTGATTGGGCGCGTATGCCAGTCATTGACGATATCTGGTTCGGCCAGAATTTGATCCGTCTGCAGGCGATCAGCCAAAGTTACAGAGATCATGGCGGCTATCAAGTCATTGGGTATGGGATGGAAAAATAAGACAAATACGTAGATCAAACGACGTCATAGCAGCTATGGTAATCGGTAAAATTAATTTGAATTATGCATAGCTATTTATGAACACTATAGGATCAATGGAACTTCATAGACAGATACCTTATATTAAGCATTCGAAAGAACATTTCCATAACATTTCATCCCAGTTTTATTTTAGCTAACATAAATAGCAATAATTTGGCCCGAAATACATGTTCACCTTCATAATATTATATGAATTCTAAATGGTCTAAAAACAGATATTTTAAGTAAGATAGGTTCAATCTTAAAAGGTAATCGCTCTATCCATTGTCGTTATTATACAAATGACCAAGTTTCTCTGTGAGGAGATCGTTCGATATAGCCATGCAAATATATCTCGAGAAGAAAGGACTAGATTATTTATTTCTTGTGTGAGATAATCATAATAGTTAGCCATGGTTCATAAGAAAAATAAATGATCGCATGCTGTAATGACAGGCCCGGATAAATGGAATTTCGAAAATCTAACTGTAGCATCAAGATTTTCAGAAATTTTTTAAATTATATTAAAATAAGTCACAATTGAAGCCAACTATGCCACAAAGACGAGGTAAATTGGACGAACTTATTTAGATTATTGGTATTAAAGAGTTTACTGACCGAACTACTGCATTTGTAGCTTAATTTTAGGAAGCTATCATTTTAAGATTCCGTCTACAGATATCTATAAATCCAGAAGTAGGTCCGAAGAAAAGGGGAAGAAATTCAAATAAAGGAAAATTTTGAGATAAATCTGACTTAAACTGAGCCATAGTGTTGGTTCGACCTTGTAGAATTTACCTAGTCCCGTGTCATTTGCCATAGTATTCGTGAGTTTCAGCATTGGACCATTGGCTAGGTACATTCAAAAACGTTTTGGCAGCATCATAGACGGCATCGCCAGTGAGAGGCGCCCTCGTAGGCACAGAGTTACAACTAATCTTGTCAATTTGTCACAAGTGCTGCCAACTAGAATACCAGCAAAATGTTTGTGAATGTACCTAGCCAATGGTTCAATGCTGTAACTGACGCATACTATGACAAAGGACACGGGACTAGGTAAATTCTACAAGGTCTCCCTGACGCTCCGACTATGTTGCGAAAGCAAGGTTGAACCAAAACTTTTAACTTTGTTACATTGCCTACGTAGCCATGGCTCAACACATTTTGACGCAAAGACCTCGTGAGTATGACTAATCTTCACTCCTAATTTCCCCTCGACCAATCAAGGCTTGGTACCGCACCTTGTCTACCTTTTGAACCAACCAGGTGGCAAGCAAAACTGCGCAAAGCTATTTCAAGCAGCAATTATACTAGCTAGGCATGTAGAAACATCAACACTCACTAGCCTATCCTCTTTTGAAAGTGTCTGCTGATCCAGCAATTTAACAAAATCCTACGAATTCTTAACTGAATATAGCCAATAATTCCTTATTTCTATGCATAAAAACCGTGAGATTTTATGCCTCACGCTTCCTTTATTATTTGCCATTAATCTTAGAGGAACACCCTCCTTGTGAACCTTAGGGAGACTGTGAGCCGTGGAGACCCTTGCATCTCTCTAGAGAATTGAATTCATTTTCAACTTCTCCATTTCATCTTTACTTACGCATACCTTAAAAGCATCCTTTAACCTAATCTTAAGTCTTTCTGTTGGGTTTCTTAGTAAAGGCCTATACGTGTCATTGTCATTTAAATAAACTAGCATTTTTTCTACATAACTTGAGTTAGCCATGACTACCACTGCTCCACCTTTGGCAGCTTTCGTTACGATTAGATTACTACCGCAGAAATATCTAGAAACCCTACTAAGATGACAATCTTTCTTTGGCGGCATTATATGGTCAAAATGAGGGATCATCTCCAGTTAAATATTATTCTTTACCTCTTCAGGCTTTCTATCAAATGAGCTAATTAATTCAACAAGTATTTCCAGATAATGGTTTACCTCATTTGGAAGAGCAAAATTTAATCATCTTTCCAATAAAAGTACTACACTATCCTCCAGAATTGTACTATTTAAATTGATTACCTTATACTTCACCACTTTGCAACGACCATGGTTATTACGGCTTATCTTAGGCGGAAAGTTTCTCAATCTAATTCTAATTCCTAAATTCCTGAGCTTCTTATCATGTATCCGACGAGTCATTCTGTCAGCCGCCTCTTCTAACCTGTCAGCCAAGCCTTATAACTAAATAAAAGCCACATCCTTTAATATTTCAGAAAGGGATTGCCTAAGCTTAGTTTTGGTTCTAATTAGCTCGCAGAGTTTGTTAATGCTTTCCTTGAGTCCAGTTTCGTAACTTGACTTACATGCTTACAAGCTCATATCTCAGTATCTCAACCATACTTATGTATAGAGTTACGCAGTCTCGGTCAGAGCTTTCTCTTGGGTCATTAGGCCTTGATGATCAGAGTCTAAGATTACCCTTTTAATAAATCTGATTTAGGACCGGTAACACACATACATACACACGCGCACACACTCGAGCAAAAGTAGCAGGACCAGTATAAAAGATAATTACCCAAGCCACTCTATATCTATCTAGGTTTTTAATTTTCGTTTGGCTTAATTGAGTCTATATAAGAGTTAAGATAGAGCCGGATAGCCTTCTTGCCCTAGTATTAACGTGAGACTTTTACATGAATGAAACCCAGCTCTGATGTTTTCTTTCTATTATGGACGAATGCTCAGCCAATTTTCATCCGAAACGAGGGAGGTCTCGCGGACTGCGTCCACCTGAACGTCGTATAAAAGACAAACGGCTGCAGTACAATGGGATTCATCCGTCCTCTTCTTGATGCACTTTCATACAAAGTGAAAGTCCCTCCAAATAACTCCCTACACATGAATCCTTCTATTCAGGGTTTTGGCTGTTTGGTTGATTTATATCGCCTCCATAACCTTTCACTTACTGGTATAGTCTCTATATCCAGCTAAGCGTTTGGCATTAGACCTGTGCGAGCCATGTGTTCGGCCAATTCCGATTTTTGGACCCAAGGAAGTTAATACACGAAATTCAGTAGGTCAGGATGGGTCCGAATTCTTACCTCGAACACCTAGGCGAAGGCACATTGCAGCAAAGCAGAGCGACTCCATTTCAATATTTCGGATTCCACGAGTATGGGCATTGCGCAGGTAGGAAAGCTTGTCCTCCTCTGTAAAGTCACAGATTGCCCCATCTATGCGGCCCTGCTCTAGAAGGAGGAGAATAAGTTTTATAAAGATGATAAGATATTTATATACATGATAGTAACAAAAGCGGGACGAAAGAATAAAAATGAAGAGATGTTTCATCTACTTTTTACAGCCAGACTGTCACTTTGGAGCGTTAAGAGATAAAACGATGATGGTTAAACGTCTGTAGCCATACAAGAATCTGGAATACAATATTACAACAATACCAGAGATTGAAATAAGAGATCGATTTTTTCAAGTCGTCTTGAAGATAAAAATAGGGTGTAAAATAGAGGAAGAGCAAACTTATTAGAATCTTAGGACTAGATAGAAATTTCAGCAATAGAGAGAAGTGCAGTGTGCTTTGTGTGATTCAGGAGTAGAAAAGTGAAGTGGTCAAGCTCTAAACAGTGCTTCCAAGTGAAGCCAGAGACAGAGTCCAAGAGAATGGGAAAGAGGATAAATGAGTTGTGGGCCTGAAGACCAAGGAGAAGAAGAAGCGTGGCAAAGAGAATCACCGTTTTTGACATCCTCGAATATGGCGTAAACATGGACTCAAATAGAAGGCTTATAAGCAGCCAGATAGGCAGTGATTTTCAAATGTAGAAGGGAACAGTTGGCAAGCAGGATAGAGAGTTATTGAAGTAAAGCGAGGATTTGGCTCCAAAAGCCATGCGAATAACATCTGAAACTGGTGATGAAGAAACTTATGCTCAGAATATCTGGGCTTCGGTCCAAAGTTAATTCTAGAGCTTGAGTAGCCCCGTTTATAGGAATGTTGGTGTAAATAGACTCTAAATCAAAACTAACAAGCAAATATCCACCTTCTAACCGCTGTTAATAGACTAACAGAACAAAGTACCCATTATGATCAATTGAGAATTACTTTAAAATACTAACGAATAAGATGGAGGGAAGCAAATATTTGGTGCAAGATAGACAGTTGGACCACTCCAGTAGGGTTCTCATGTTACCGTCATGTTATTTATGAAAAAGATAGCTGAATTACTGATGAGGTGGGACATAAGGACAATGCATGAGGCTAAAATAACACTTTCCTCAGTAATGCCATCTTTTCGTGAAATTTCGGACCCACTTGCCAAACCGGGCTGCCGTAAGATTTTGTGTTTATATGGTAGCGTCTATTTGGGGGAGACATGTTGACCCATGTAGAGCAGACTATGCGAACACTAACCGCTTGTAAAGTCTGTGAACCCAAAAATCTGAACTCCTTGAATACATGGCTAATCCAGGACACTAAATAGACTAGACAAAGCACAATATTTTGTAGGTTACGAAGACTTCACATCGAAGCGTAATATTAGAGATCAATCTTCGAATCTATTCTTCATAGACATTCATATGAAATTAAAGTCCAAGCAATAGGATTAGGGAAACTTTTTTTCACCCCGCTTTTTACTTTGTCGCTACTACACATTAAAATCACTGTCAGTCTGCCTATGACCCTTCAGCTAACTTCATACTTAGAGTCAGTGACACTCATACCAAGGCATTTTCTTCTCACTAGACTTGAGGCCCATCACCTAGTTATACGCTTTATCATTCCCACCCACCTTGCGTCTCATTTTTCTGGGCCCTGTTTTCGGATTAATTAGAAAACGCCGATGACAAAATCTAACACTTATCGTTTCCACTCCTGAATCGCGTAAAGCATACTCCAATTGTCTTTAAATTGTGAGTCCTATGTAATCCTAGGGTACTAATCGGTTATTTATGTCTGCATTGGTTTGTATCCTCTCTTTTCTTAGTTAGGCATGTAATCAGTCATATCTTATTGAGGAAATCAACCGAAAAATGTCCACAAACGCACACACGCACACTGGGGACCTACCATAACACCTTTCTACCTTTAATCCAGCACCTCCAATGGATCATAGTCTACCTGCTTATTACCGTTAATTTCCTATCCCACAGCATACAGGTGAACTCACACCGGCAAATGTTTTGGCGATTCTAGGTTTGACTCCTCCCACTGCAAGCCTCTTTATTTTACTTCCCATTGTCCCTCATGATCCATCCTAGCGATGTCTCTTCCTGTTGTTGAATAGATTTACTTAGACCTAGTGTTTTCTTGTAGCTTTCCTCTCTGAATCTTCAAGTTTGTCCAGGTAGTACGTGAAGTTCTCGCTGACGCTTCCCCTTTCAAGCCTAGTGTTCATCAGGTTTCTCTGTAAGAGGATGTCCACGGCCTCCCTGATCTATCGTTTTCTGGTGCTCGCCCTAGATAAGGTCAGTCATTCCATTTCACTCCGGTCAATTGTGTGGCCGCTAAGGGCGGTGTATTCAGCTATCTCCGATCTTTCCATATACACTTTTCTGCATAGTCGCTAGAGTTCCGTCATGTCTGTGCTGATTGTCCTTTTATCTCTCTTATGCAGTTTCATTTACAGTCCTAGCAGTTAATGCTGTAAATTCCAGTGCACTCAACTTTGTTGACTTCTTCATGCTGTGTCGGCAAGCTGGTAAAGAGAGTTGTCCTTTCCTTTAGGATTGAACATATATTTCATTTTAATAGTATCGGCCAAAGCTTCCGAGCCGATTCACAGGAGGGGAGACATGTCCATAGCAAGTCTTATGAACATACACAGATATTGCTTAGCTCTCATTTTGGCGAATACCCATGTGGCTAAATTTGAGTAACACTTGCAGATTAGATACATGAATGAATCTTTTTTTTTCTGGTAGCATGACAATTAGATCTTAGATAGTTCCCTGCCCTTACCTAACCATCATGAAGGGAACATTAGGTTAACATTGGAAATATAAGAGAATAAGATTACCATCTTTAGACTTTCTGGTAATTAAAGAAAATGGCAAGTTAGGAAGAGATCTGTATATGGAATCGACATATATTGGCTCCTTAATTTCATTTCCAACCATAGTTACAAAGCTATGGTTGGAATTTTAAAGTCTCTTATTATCAGGAGTATGAAACTAGCGGATAGGTGACCACGCATGGGAAATTTTTTCCTAAAAGAAAATTATCCTTTGGACTTAAATTATAAAAATATCTCTTTACTAAGGAGTAAATTTTAGGACGGAG